TGAATGTTTTAATTGATATAAAATAGTTTTAATCAGTTAAAATCACTTACAGAGAATACCAGAAAAGTTGTCCGTACAGTTTTAATCGATTAACATTCGAATTAATCGATTAAAATGTTCTCAGGATTTGAGTTTAGCTGTTTTAATCGATTAAAAAGGATTTATATCAACTAAAAACACTAAGATATTAAATTTAATCGATTATTTTTTGTTTTAATCGATTAAAATTCTGTTATCACTTCATTAATTTCATCCAGTACAAGATTAATCGATTCCTTTATGAATTAATCGATTATTTCACTTAGCATTTTTAAACCTAGTATTAAAGATCAAATTAATAGGTTAATTAGTTGATTAATCGATTAATTTGTTCCTGAAAATTATTTTTACATCATCCAATTGAAAATTGGTAAGCATATCAAAAGTCAAAATCCCAAGTTTTTGTGGTAATCAAAATCTGCATAATTCTTTTTAATATTCTTTGACCAAGTCAAACATCTTCCCAAGAACAGTTTAGCTGATGCACCCACTATCCAGAAATTTGTGCCTCTGTTTGGTCAAGGGGACATATACAATTCAAGCTAATTTTGCAGGTTCTGTCAAAATTTAACCGCAATTCACGAAAATTGACATCCGTGAATCTTCACTTTGCTCACTTGTAGCTCATTGTTCTCATTCTTCTCTTTCTGGTTCAAAATGCTTCTCTCTTCTTTTCTTGTACTCACGTCTCAAAAACCCTCTCTAAAATATACAACAAGATGCTGAGGAGATCAAAGTCAAGAAAGAAGAAAAAAGGGGAATCTTCCTCTCGTCGCTAATCCTGGTGGTCATCTGGAAGCATGGTTTAATGGTGATATTGGAAAAATGAACACCTTCATTTACGAGTTCAGATCGAAACAGATTGTTATTCCAAAATTTATCAAATACAAATTGCTTGATGAAGAGGGATTTACTAGTCTGAGAAGAAAGCTAAAAAGTCAAAAGCTAAAAACCTTCATGGAGTTTACTGGGAACATACAACCTGATCTGGTTCGGGTGTTTTATTCAAATTTGACAGTAAATGGTTCAACAATCAGATCTCAGGTAAAGGGAGTTAATATGGAAATTACTCCTTCTTTTTGGGAGCAAATTGTTGGCCTCAAGGATAGGGGTGTCAAAGTTTCCAGGGGGAATATTTCTGAGATTCCTGATTTCAACAAAATTCAGTTTTTCCGGTCTTGCCTTAAGGATCCAAATGATTCGGTAAGAATTTTAAATGCTGGAAAACTTGCACTTGAACATAGACTACTTGCTTTTATTGTGGCATGGATGCTTACTCCAAGAGGGAGTAATCATGCTATTCTTAATGAGGGAGATCTTGCCCTCATGTACTGCATTTTTAACAATATTCGGGTAAACTGGATTTATGTGATTAAAGATCACATGTTAAAGGCAAAAAGGTTGGAAGATTTCAAATTGCCTTATGCCATGTTAATTAATAATTTCTTTAGATATTTTGAAGTTGATCTTACTGGGGAAAGCATAGAAACCCCCAAGGCATCAAATGAAATTGACGACTCTACCCTGAGAAAAATGGGGTATATAAAAGTTGATGATGAATGGATCTCTAAAATTGATGTTGGGATGTCTGAGGGTGAGGGAGAAGATGAAGATGAAGATGAACAAGGCCAAATTCCTTCCTCTCCAAGCTCGCTGCAGAGGTTCCTGAGTCAACCGAGTGGTCAAGCTTCATATGAGAATATGGAAATCATTCCTTACATGGAGCAACCTGACCGTGGGACTCCTTTATCTCAATTTGAAAGAACAATGCTTTCTCAAATGACTGTAATGCAGGAAAATCAGAGAAAGCATATGCAGATGACATATCAACATTTCCAGCAAACAAACAATCAATTCGCATCCCTTGGAAACCAGATTGCTGATATCTACACCAAGTCTGGAAGATATGCAGCTGAACCAAGGAAGCTGGGATGATTGAATTTGTGGATAAAAAGGGTCCCTTCTTATCTTTCTTTTATGTTTTATTTCTTTTGATGCTAATTTCAATTTCTGGTCTGTAATATTTATCGGTTGTATACCAGGTACAATCTTTTTAGCTTTGATTAATATAATGTAGGTTTTAAATCGAATCAAACTAGCCTAGATGGAATTTAACATAGATCCCTAATATTTTTAGCTGATACAAAATGGATTTAATCGATTAAAGGAAACACTTTCACAACAAAATATTCGATTAAACTGCGTATCAATCGATTAAAATCTATATAAACTAGTTTACATCAGTTAAATTAGCTAAATAAGATTTTATTCTAATTTTGATGGATCTATTGGTTAAAATTTAATCGATGTAGTTGATATTATTGTAAAACATCTTTCTAAATGATCGGTTTTACAAAATTTACACTGGATTAGGCATGATAAATAGGCATTTTAGATGCATCAAACATTTCTTAGTTTTCAAAACTGGTTGTTTTAATCGATACAAACAAGTTTTAAATCGATTAAAAGCACTTATACAACATTTTTCTTTACTGTTTTAATCGATTAAATGTCGATTTAATCGATTATATCAACTTATGGTTCAAACTTTCAAAACTCATCACTGTTTTAATCGATTAAACCTTTATTTCAGTCGATTAAAACCATTAACAAGAAATTTTTAATCGATTTTGTCCTGTTTTTAATCGATTTTTATTCTGGAAAGAAAAATTAAAGGCATTAGTTAATGGTTGTTCTTGTAACATGCTACTAAAGCGTGGTTCCCTTATCTTTACATGTGTTAATTGTTTTCATTACAAACGTGTTAATGAAGATAAGCTTGAATCAACTTTGATTTGTCTTTACATGAGTAAAGTATCGTATCCATTTTTTTTCTATTTTCGAAATCTAAGACATGATACATACCATGCATTGTTTTCTCTCTCTGTTCCCTATTTTTGATGAAGTCAAAGGGGGAGAAATAATTGCCTTAATTTTGATCAATTTAGAGGGAGAAATAATAATTCTGTAGTTGAGGGAAGCAGAAATTTAGGGGGAGAAATAGGAAAATGATTAAATGTTGATTACTCACTAATCTATTTTATCAAGTGACTTCTTTTGCAGAGTTATTATTCAAAGTGGTGTTTGTCTTCATCAAATAGGGGGAGACTGAAAGTAATGAAGATCTTATTCACTTTGGCAAAGATCTTGTTGATTTGATGAAGTAAAAAATGGAGTCAAAGGAAACTCTGTGGCAGTCAAAGGTCACTTAAGATAAAAGAGAAGAGAATTAGTTTGTCTGCAGCTCTGCTTAGGTATAACCATTTTATCTTTCTGCTGCATGAGGTTTCTTCACTTAAAAGATTTTGCATTTGCCTCTAAAAAATGTTTTAACCGTTAAAAATAAAACATTTTGACAAAAGGATTTTTAATCAACCATTTTAACTGATAGTATATGAGGTTTACTAACTAAAATGTTCTTCACACTTCTATAACAGGTTTTCAACTGATATAATTTCGAAATAACCGATTGTTTTCATTAAAGAAAGTTTTGAAAACCTTCTGTCAGTATTTTAACTGATACAACTTCGAAATAATCGATTAAAATCACTTAAAATGTTCAGAGAAGTGTTTTGGTAGTATTTTAATCGATACAACTTCGTTTTAATTGATTAATTTCATTTGGTATACTGTATGACCGATCAGAATGCGATTATGACCGATCAGAATCAGATATGATCGATCAGAATTTAGTTATGACCGATCAGAATTATTTATGCGAAAGAAGTGGCTTTATGCGAAAGAATAGTTTAACGTCCCTTATCTCTTCTGTCGGACTGCGTAGCTACTTAGCTTACAAAGAACCTGAAACCAGGCTAGCTAAAAGGCAGGCTGTCCGAGATAAGGGTGTTTATTGCAAAAAGAATTTTTTTTTTATTTTTGTGATTTTTTTCTGTTGTTTGGTTATGCTATGCAACAAATAGATGCCCACACAATTTGAACATGCACGAGCAGGCGAGAAGTTGTTTTAATCACGAGGTAGGGTTTTCCTGCAGAAAAGTGCATTGGCGAAGGTAGGTTCTAACTGTTCTCACCAAGGTTTAAGGCCCCCAAGGTGCCCCCATTATAGGGTCTCCACTCTCCAGCCTTCCGACCATGCTTAGCACTAAGGCCATAGTCAGTCTTTGTGCCAAACGAGGAAGGTTATCACCTTGAGTGGTGGTTTCCGATCACACTAGTGGGCACGAGGCCATCACTACAGCGAACCGTACCTGCCACCCACTCCCTATGGATTTCTCACTTGCCGCCGGGTATAGAGGGAACTGTTGTGTGCAAGGGTTTGTGTATAGTTTGTATTTCAAACAATTGCGTAAGTATAAACAAGCAATAGTTATTAAAGCCAAACATTAAAACATGTTATAATACAAGGTAGGGTAAAAGCGTTATTTTCTTGGTTTAATTACTTTAGGCTAGCCCATCACTAAATGAGATCAACTCTCTAGGCTTCCCTAGCGGAGTCTCCATCTGTCGTTGCCGTCAAAACGAGGGCGGTTGGAGCGACGCGATGGTTTCGACTTTCCATTTTTCGTGTTTTTGTTGGTGGTTACAACGCCTTTAGGTTGTCCGATAACCGGGCTGAACCTAGGGGCGAGGTTTTCGAAAAGGCGTTCTTTGATTGTCCGATAACCGAGCTAAACCAATAACTAGTTTTTGAAGGGTTCTTCTGGAGTCGCCACCGACGTTTTTACCGGAAACATAGGGTGCTTTTTGGCAGCCCTTCACTCTTTTACAGCGCCGGAATCTCTCAAAAACGCTCTAAAACACTCTAGAAGACTCTCAGAAACTCCGAAAATGCTTCGGAGGGGTTCTAGAAAGAGAATTTGATGAAAAGTCTAGAGAGAGAATGGAAGAACTGTGTGAAATGAGGGGAATGACGCTCCTATTTATTGGGATCCGCGCCTGTCAGGTCGAGACGGACCGTCTCATCTGACAATGTCGAGACGGCCGTCTCGCCAAACGAGATGGCGGTCTCGCCATTTGCACAAGGCGAGACGGCGGTCTCGACCTTAAAAGGCGAAAATCCTTATTTTTGGGCAAAAAATCCCTCCTATCCTAGTATGGGGCCTAATAGTCTCTCCTAGTGGCTTCTTAGGCTTCATCCATCTTCGAATAGAAGGTCTTCTGATCTTTATTATGAGGGCGGGCAAGATTAGGGGTCTACAATTACATTATACATTGCACATGAAAAAATAGTTGTTACTGCATTATTGCATTGTACACTGCACATGGAAAATAATTGTTACTTTTTCATATTTACCACTCATCTCCATAGCATATGACAACCTTCAACACCTATAAATGAGACCACTTAGTACTGCTACCATCCGTTCAATCAACTCACTAAACACTTATACCAACACCCATGACTTCTATAACTTTTACTGTATTCATTTGCTACAATGGCAACATCTTAATAGATTAGGTTTCACTTGACATGTTTCCAGTGACTTGTCAAGTCATTGGGTCCGCGTGCATAATAGAGTACATGTGCACCTTCGACACGCATGTGCCACATCATCGTCTTGTACCACGGGACAGTTAGACTAGGTCTCACTTAACATGTCATCAGTAACATGTCAAGTCACTGGGTTTGTCTGCACAATAGAGTGCATGTGACTCCTTTGACATGCATGTGCCACATCATCGTCCAGACTAGGTCTCACCTGACATGTCGTCAATGACATGTCAAGTTTCTAGGTCTATCTGCACAATAGAGTGCATGTGACTCCTTTGACACACATGTGCCACATCATCATCTTGTACCATGAGACACTCATACTAGGTCTCACCTGACATGTTGTTAGTGACATGTCAAGTCACTGGGTTTGCCCGCATAATAGAGTGCATGTGACTCCTTTGACACGCGTGTGCCACATCATCATCTTGTTCCACGGGACAGTCAGACTATGTCTCACTTGACTTGTCGTCAGTGATATGTCAAGTCATTGGGTCTGTCTACACAATAAAGTGCTTATGACTCCTTTGACACACATGTGTCACATCACCACCTCGTATCATAACACCATCAAACTGGGTCTCACTTGACATGTCGTCAGCAACTTGTCAACTCACTAGGTCTCACCTACTACTCACATGACTACCTAGCTCTCATGTCACTCACATGACTATCTAACTCTGATGTCACTTACATACCTAAACTCACTTACCATTCGCATGACCACCTAACTCTTATGTCACTCAAATGCCTACCTAAACTCTCTTACCACTTACATGACAACCTAACTCTCATGGCACTCACATGCCAACCTAAACTCTCAACCACTCACATGATAAACTAACTCTCATGCCACTCATTACTATATAAAGTTTACCTTATCATCACTTTTCACACCAATTGCTCCTACCTTACCATCATTCCCCACACCAATTCATCATAACTTTACACTTACTTTATCTCCTCTCTAGCCTTCTACACTTTCATCATTTTTATTGCTTTTTCTTTCATATGGATTCTTTCATTCGAAACGACATCTTTAATGATGGTGACATTGTTACCTGCCCTCAAACAGGGGTTTTCTTTCATAGTGACAATGTCATCATGATGCGTATTCATAGAGGAATGACATTTAAGCATTTCAAACAAACAGTTCTACAAAAATGTGGTCGATCTCCCCATGAACAACTTTCAACCAGAACGTATAGATACCCTGTCCGTGTTTATGGTCAAATGCGTATTACATTACAACTACGCTTCAAGACAACAAAGATTTAGAAGGTCTAATTGACATAAAAAATGTAAACCCAACATTGGCCGAAATTGAGATATGCACAACCTACCATCGAGGTAATCCTTATGCTCCTAACCAATACCAAGATCAATAACATAACTCACAAAACAACCTATAACACAAACATTTGATTTGAACAACACCTATTTAGGGGAATGGGAAGTTGATGTAGAATCATACAACCAACTTCTAACTGGTCCTTCTACATAAAATATTTTTCCCTCCCTCACCATGCAATCACAACACCATTAACTTCTTTTTTATCTAAAAATGAAACTTTAAGATTTCCTCTAGCATCATTAGAACCTTTTAGTGATGATGAGGATGACATCCTCACACAATATGCAGATGAGGATGATGACAACTTAGAGGTCCCCCCATACAACTGTTAAGTGGTAAAAGTTTATGTAATTATACTTTTAATTGTTATTTAACCACTTAAATTATGTTGATTCTAATCTAATTTTCTCCCAATGTAGGATGAATTTGCAGAATACATTGGTACAAGAGCAATGATCATAATTCTCAAGTTAATTGAAGAAAAATTGGAAAAAATGAAAAAGATTTTCAGCTTAAGAGTCGCTCGAGCGAGACAGATGCTCGCTTGAGCGAAAATGCGTTAAAGCTCTCTGGAAGTCACTCGTTCAAGTGAACATTTACTTGATTGAGCGAAAATAAGTTGAAGCTCTCAAGAATTCAACAGCTCAAGCGAACAATTCTCGCTTGAGCGAACATTCCGCTTGAGTGAATGATGCAAAATTTTTCTTTAAAAAGATAAGATTCATTTTGAGAAGGGGGAGGTTTTGAGAAGAGAGGCACAACGACTGCTCGAGTTTTCGTCCAATCTTCAATTCTTCTTCATTTGGATCATTGTAATGGCCAGCATGAGTGACTAACTTCATTCTCTTAGGATTTGGTACACTTACTTTGAACACTTTTGTATCTTGGTGATATTTTGAGATATTAATCTATGTTCTTGATGTTGTTATTCTTATCCTTTGTGTCTGTTAATGCTTTTACCCTGGATGTTCATATATATTGGAAAATATATCTTGAAACCCTTGATTAGGTTAAAAATATTTGATACGTTGATTGCTAGGAATGATAATAGATGTATTAAGTGCTTAACACGCTAAACCTAATGCTGGAAAATCTATTGAATGTATGAAGAATCTATGTTTAGAAGGTTTTCTTATGAATTTCATGTTTGAGGAATCAATGTGAATGATTTAAGTAGGTGACATCAACATTGATAGGTTAATTGATGTTATTAATTTGACTTAGCCATTATACAAAGGAGGGAAAGGGAAGTAAGCCAATCCTAAGTTCTCATATTTCTTAGTTTCTAAACATATTTTATAGCTCTTTACTGTTTGTTTTCAATCCAAAAGTTTATGAAAAACCAATTTTGTGTCAATACACTTGGTAAGCTTATGATTCAGAATTTTCAGTGAAACCGTTCCTCGTGGGATCGAATTTTATTTAATTGAAATACTATACTGCGATTGATATATTGGTATGCTTGCTAAAAAAGTCCAACAGCAACAACAATCCCAACATCATTACCCCATCTATACATTCCTCCCCAACGTTTTGAAACGTATACCGGACTTCCCTATGAACAAAATAGTGAGTTGATCATGCATTTAACCATGAATCAGTGGAACATCCACCTAGATCATTATTCAAGGGAATGTGGTTTGAAAACAAGGAAAAACTTGTTGATTCACTTAATAGGTTCCACATAATGAATCATTGTACCTACAAAGTCACACATTCCAACACCACTAGATTAAAAGTGCAGTATGTTGAGAATCATTGCAATTGAAAGTGTCAAGCGATCTTGCGCACCAAGGAACAATTTTGGGAGATCCGAAAGATAGAAGGAGCTCACACATGTGCTACGCCTTTAATATCACAAGATCACAATAAGTTAGGGTCACACATAATTTCACAACATATTCGTGAAATTATGGACGCAGACTCTTCTACCCCTATTACAACTATTATTTCTCATATCATATCCTCAGTTGGGTACACTATGACATATAGAAAGACTTGATTAGAAAAGCAACAAGCAATTGAAAATGTTTAGGGTAATTGGGAAGAATCATTCAACAAATTTTCTAGCTTATTACAAGCCATGTCACAATTTCTTCTTGGTTTCTATTACCGATTGACCACACAACAACCATCTTCTGCGCGAGGACAAGGTATATTTTAAAAGACTATTTTGGACCTTTAAACCATGCATTGATGACTTTCGGTATTGCAAACCACTAGTCCAAGTGGATGGGACATTTCTCTATGGCAACTATAGGGGCACCCTACTTCTAGTTGTTGCATAAGAAGGAAGTAACAACATACTCCTCATTACTTTTGCGATTGTTGAAGGTGAAATAGTAAATGCTTGTTTTTTTTTTCTTAAAAAACCTAAGGAGGTATGTCACACCTCATGACAACTTGTGATTAATTTCGGATCGCCACAACTCATTTCATGCAGTGTACGCAAGACCTGAGAGTGGATGGATTGAGGGTAACTGTATGCATGTGTATTGAATTCGATACATTGCAAAAAAATTTATGAGAAGATTCAAGAATGCAACTCTCAAAAAAGACCTTGTCAATATGGGTAAAAACTTCTATTTTATCTAAATTGTTTTACTATGTCATCTTGTTTATTCTATGTTAACTTTTATTACTTCAATATGCAGCATACGTATTGACTGAACCAAGAGCAAACTACTACTACAAAATCATAAGGCAAGTCAATATAGAAGCAGCAACTTGAATTGGCAAATTCCTGAATAAATGGGCACTTGCATATGATGATGGTAGAAGATGGGGTCACCTAACTACCAACTTAGCTGAATCCATCAATTCAGTCCTAAAGAAAACAAGGAATCTACCAATCTCCTCCATGGTCATGGTCACATACACAAGATGCAACAAATTTTTCATAGAAAGAGGGAGACAAATCATAGCAATGATTAATGCTAGTCATGTTCATTCAGAAGTTGCATCAAAAGTATTACAAGATCCTTATACAAAATCAAACACTCATAGGATGTTTGAATTCGATCGAAGCAACACAAGATTCTTGGTGGCGGAGATTGTCAACCCAAGAGAAGTTCGCTCCGCTGGTAATTTTGTTGTTAGACTAGATGAAGATTGGTGTGATTGTGGGAAGTTCCAAAAACTTCATCTGCCATGTTCTCATGTGGTTGCAATGTGTAAACATGCTCACCATGAAGGATGAATTACGTTGATTCTAATCTAATTTTCTCCCAATGTAGGATGAATTTGCAGAATACCTTGGTACAAGAGCAAGGATCATAATTCTAAAGTTAATTGAAGAAAAATTAGAAAAAATGAAGAAGATTTTCAGCTTAAGAGTCGCTCGAGTGGGACAGAGTCGCTCGAGTGGGACAGACGCTCGCTTGAGCGAAAATGCGTTAAAGCTCTTTGGAAGTCACTCGCTCAAGCGAACATTTGCTCGATTGAGCGAAAATACGTTGAAGCTCTCGGGAATTCAACAGCTCAAGCGAACAATTCTTGCTTGAGCGAGAATCTTTATTTTTCGCTTAAGCGAACATTTTGCTTGAGCGAATGATGCAAAATTTTTCTATAAAAAGATAAGATGCATTTTGAGAAGGGGGAGGTTTTGAGAAGAGAGGCGTGGTGAATGCTCGAGTTTTCATCCAATCTTCGATTCTTCTTCATTTGGATCATTGTAATGGCCATCATGAGTGACTAACTTCATTCTCTTAGGATTGGGTGCACTTCCTTTGAACTCTTTTGTATCTTGGTGATATTTTGAGATATTAATTTATGTTCTTGATGTTGTTATTCTTATCATTTGTGCCTATTACTGCTTTTACCCTAGATGTTCATATATATTGGGAAATATATCTTGAAACCATTGATTAGGTTAAGAATATTTGATACGTTGATTGCTAGGAATGGTAATGGATGTATTAAGTGCTTAACACCCTAAACCTAATGCTGGAAAATCTATTGAATGTATGAGGAATCTATGTTTACAAGGTTTTCTTATGAATTTCATGTTTGAGGAATCAATGTGAATGATTTAAGTAGGTGGCATCAACATTGAAAAGTTAATTGATGTTATTAATTTGACCTAGCCATTATACAAAGGAGGGAAAAGGAAGTAAGCCAATCCTAAGTTCTCATATTTCTTCTTTTTCTAAACATATTTTATAATTCTTTACTGTTTGTTTTCAATCCAAAAGTTTATGAAAAACCAATTTTTTGTCAATACACTTGGTAAGCTTATGATTCAAAATTTTCAGTGAAACCGTTCTTCATGGAATCGACTTTTATTTAATTGAAATACTGTACTACGATTGATAATATTGGTACGCTTGCAAAAAAAAACCAAGAAGTATTTCTTGTTAGAATTGTGCAGTGGAATGTTTGCGTTTCTGGACAAAAACCAAGAGGGGGGGTGAATTGGTTTCTTAACAAAAATTAGGGTTTTAAAAATTTTCTCCAAATTTCACCGATTAAAATGTTGTGTAAACGTAAATAGAGTAAGGATAGAGTCTTACACAGAAGATTTATACTGGTTCGGATCAAAAGACCCTATGTCTAGTTGCTAATCACTCAAACAGAGGATTAACACTGTCACTATAATAAAGTTTTACAAGCAGATAACAATTGAAAAGATAAGGTAACGAAAACACCTCTCTTGAGTCACACAAGAGATGAAGAACAACTTTCCCTAGAGATGGCACAACACACAATCCACAAAGAAAACCCACTTAGTGATTCTTATCGCTTCTAGCCCACACTAGGTTCCAAAAGCCCCTTTTTCCTCCAACAAACAGTTCTCTGGCAATCACAACTCTTAACTTTTGTTTGAAAAAAGTTGTTCACTTTGCAGAGAGCCTTAGAGAACCTTAAGTAGATGAATTAGGGTTTGGGAATTGGGGATTTTCGAAACCTGGTGTATTGGGACTAGGGTTTTTGAAACTTGGTCTAATTTCGAAGTTTAAAATGCATATCTGACTGAAGTAATCGATTATCTTGAGTGTTAATCGATTATTACAGAGCCAAAATCAACAGGAACCCATAACCACGCCAGTTAATCAATTATTTAATTTGTTAATCGATTAACAACCCTGTTAATTGATTATTTCAGCTGTTAATCGATTATTCCATAGAGCTGATATAGAAAATGGTTTTTCTCTCTGTAATAATCGATTATTTAGCCTTTTAATCGATTAAACCAATTTGTTTTGATAAAAATGAGTTTTTGAAGCTTCTAAAGAGTAGACTATGTGCTGGCTATCTTAGACTCTAATACTACAGACTCAAAATCATCAAAACAAAGTTATTACACAAGAAT